AGACCACAGCAGAAACCACACGACATGGTCAGTACCTACAAGGGGACCCGCTGTCTCCGACCTGGGCATGTGTGCGGGGCTCCAGGAGAAAGCGTCTGACGTCCTAATTGGCGGTGTGGCCCAGTGTTGCCTCTGGGGCTGTGGGCGCAGGCGATCGGTCTTGTTGTTTCTCTACCTTGTTCCAGCATCAACCAGACAGAGCACCTGACGTGTGCCGGGCGCCCCTGCTCGTGTGTCAGGGGCCCGCCAGCCCGCTCCCCACCTCCAGCCTAGATGCAGATGTGGTGCCAGCCGCGGTGTGGCTGGAAACTAGAAGGGCCGCCTGCCAGCTGGGGAGCAGGGTGGGGTCACGGCGTGGCTCGCTGAACCTCACAGAGGGCTGGAATGCCCATGACGCCTTCTCAGAAATGCGTGACCTTATCTACCCCCAGATTATAAAGCTTGATGTAAAAAAAAGCAATTTAGGGATAATCCAGGGAGATTGAATATCCACCGGGCGCTCATTGGAGGTGGTAACGTCATGTCTGCCATATCAGAGATGAATGTCCTATGGTTTAGAGACGCACAGGGAAGAGTCTAGCAGTACAAACATATGGAGCCCATTGTTTGCACCAATGAGGGTCAACAAACACAAACCATGCAACAAAGGGGGAAGTTGGAGGGGGGAGAGAGGTGGTGGTTCTCAAGCTTCACGGGCCCCCCGAGGGATGTTTAACACTCGATGCTGGGCCCCCAGAGCTGCCGGTCGGGTGGGGCTGGGGTAAGACCTGGAATTCTCGTTTCTAACAAGTCCCGGATGCTGCGGATGCTGCTGGTTCACACTCTCAGAACCACTGTGTGAAGGAAACAGCAAGATTGCAAAACACGGCTGATCACGCACTGGGCGTGGGGTCGAGGGGTGATCACGCACTGGGCATGGGGTGGCTTGAGATTCTTTAGACTATCATCTGTACGTTTGCGTGCTTGACATAGAGGTGTCCGAACATCTTTTAAACAATATATTCTCTGCACATTTTCAGAGTTGAGAAAACGTTGACGATCCAGAAGTCAAATTCTTGCCAAGACCTTCCTCTACCCAAAGCTCCCATGAGGAATCAAGCATCAGGTCCAGGGGACACTCAGCGAACATGCCCACAGAAGGCCCATCTCTTCTCACCGTTTGCCAGAGATTTGGGTGACAGTGATGCAGCCACCTGCCTTGCGAGGAAAGACAACAGGTGCGTGGTCCCGGCAACTCGCCACAATGGGAAAACCCGCGTTTCAGTGACTTAGTTTACGAATAACTCATGTTCAGCTCCGTTAGCTGTGGAAGCATTTGGTCTGCTACCCCAGCCTCCCTCCCCGGGGAATAAAAACACACAAGAGTGGTTTAAATGAGAGAAACATTTGCTTTTCCTTCCTCTGGGGCCTCCTGAGCTGCTCAGGGGCCAGCATCCTACTACGCCGGCCTCATGACCCAACATGGCAGAAAAGGTGAGTGGCACTGGATGAATCCGGAAGGTTCCCAAGGCTATGGGCCCCCTGCCGGCATCTCCATTGGGATCCACTCCACCTGCAGGGACACCAGGCTGCACACAGTCAGAACAGGGACTGATGGGCACAAAGCCTCATCATCAAAGGGCCACGCTTCCTCCCTTAACACTCAGGACCCACCAGAGCTGAGGACCCAGCCTTTCAAGCCTGTCCTAGCTGTTCAATCAAGTCTCTTGTAAGGTTGCCCATGGGCCTACTCAGAAAAAACAGGACAAGAAATACCACAGAACCCATTAGCAAGGTGGGACTTGAATTCCCATCTCTCAAGCACAAAAAAACGAGAAACCCATGCCTATCCTGTTCAGTGGCAAAGTTCCTTGAGGCCGGGGGCAGAGACAGGCCTCTCAGCCTGCAGGAAACACAAGTGTGAGTTTGCATCTTGGGTTCTCCCAAAATGGGTGAAGTTGGCAATTTCAGGATAGTCTACTTCCTGCAATTTTCTTACCTAAAAGCAGCTTACACGTTAGCACCTAAAATCCCTTCCAGGACCTACAACGCTCAGGTTGGCAAGGCAGACGTTGTGATCCCCGGTGTAGGGGGCAAGTCTGCAGGTGGAAAGGTCCTCCAGGGTCGTGGGGAGAGTCTGTCCCTTCCCTGAGCCCATGTGGTAGAGCCTGTTCTGCAAGTAGAATTTAGTCACAAGGCCTTCGAGATCTTCGTTTATTCAAAATGAAGAGATAAAAATCAGTACATAGGCCCGTAGAAAAAGTACAAAATGTAGCTAAGAAAAAATACATTATTTTCACCGTAAGCTCTGCTCTGTGTGTGTGTGTGTGCCACACTGCATGTATCTCTAGAATATTCTGCTGTTTTGCAAACGCGTAACTGATTTTAAAGTAAGAGCCTGAAGTGAAACCTCAGCGATCAGTTATGTTCGTACCTTAAAGAAACATTTAAAATAACTGAGGTTGAGGAGAAAGAGGGAAACTCAAACCTTGGCCCCAATGGGCAATTAGGGAAGACACGTTTTTGACGGAATCTCGGGGTATTTGGACAAAGCAAGCTTAGCACGACGGAACCCCGTGCCCCCCAACGGTGGCCCTGGATGCTCCATAAAACCTCAGGCGCCTGGAGGGCCGCTGGCCAGAGGGCTGAGCCTGCTTACGGCCTGTGCGGTAGGGACCCGGGCTCTGTTCCCACCGGCCCCGTGCTCTGGCATGCCCTCGCCAGAGAGGCCCGGCCGAGCTCTGCGCCTGCTCCTGTTCTCCCTCCTCTGCGCAGACGCAGGGAGACAAGTTCAAAGGCCTCCAGAGAACGAGCGGCCAAGGCAGATTCCAGCCCGAGCCTGCCTGCTCCCCAGGCCCACGCGCAGCCAGAGAGCGGGGGTTGGGGGGACGCACCTCACCCGGGGGGGGGGGAAGCACAGAGCCCTCCTTCGCGGGTGCGCCGGGCAGTGCGTGGTGGCCAGCCTCCAGACCAGCACACGGGCTGAAATCGTACGGTATTTGTCTTCACCATAATACTCTCCAGCTCCATCCGTGTTGTCGCAAATGACAAGATCCCATCCTCTCTACGACTGAATATACATTATTACATATATACTACATCTTCTTTATCCACTTACCTATTCGTGGACACTTGGGTTCCTTCCATATCTTCGCTGTTGTAAATAATGCTGCTATAAACATAGAGGTGTGTATATCTTTTCACATTAGTGTTTTCATCTTCTTTAGGCAAATACCCAGTAATGGGATGACTGGATCATAGGCTGCTTCTATTTTTAACCTTTGGAGGAGCCTCCACACTATTCTCCAGAGTGGCTGCCCCAGTGTGCATTCCCACCGACAGTGCAAGAGGGTTCTTTTAAAATACCTTTAATAGGAAGGTAGCTGTCTGTGAGGTTTCTTTTCAAGAAGGAAAGGTTTTCTTTTTAAAAGCTGAGGGAAACCGTATTGGTCCCCAGTCCTGGCTGATTGTTAAAATCACCCGGAGAGATGTTTCTAGAGTGTTTAAGAGCTTTTAAAAACACAGATCGCAGATCGGAGCATCTGTGTTTGAGAGCCCTTGACCTCGGCGGCTGGCCGAGATGCCGTCCATCAGCCTGTTCTGTGATTCTTTGCTGTTCCCTCTGTTTTTCCCGACTCAGAATGAGCCCCTAACGGCAGCAAATCATCAGACAGGCCTTTTCCATCTGTAAAAGGAAAATTATTTTAAAAAAATCCTTCTTGCTATCACTGACTCTGTATTTATCACTTGTTTCCATTGGAAAAAAAATGTTTTGTTCTGTTCGGTTGCAAGTATCGGTCTTTAAATAACTCAGTCTTAATGTTGTTAAAACGATTTCTTAATGATGAAAAAGAGTTATTAGTGAGAGGCTTGAACAGCCAAAAAGAAAGTAATTTGCATTTGTATTAGTATCAAGTAGGATTTTAAATTCTCTTTCACATTAAATACAGCTCATTTTTATTGAGTGTGGTTGAAACTCAGGCCAGCCTCTGTGCTGGGTGGGAAGCACTTACTCAGGCTGATAACCTGGAGCTCGATCCCGCCAGGGCGCCTGACTCGCCTGGGAAGTGGCCTCCTCACACCGCACTCTGGGGACCACTGCTCGCTCCCTGCGGTGACACCCGTGGGGGGCCAGGAACAGCCTGTTAGTATTCCCTCCTCTAACTTGTGCGCCCTCTGACGCGGAAGCAAGAAGACAGAGCGGGACTGTGAAGCCTGTGGAGAGGGAGCGTGTCCGCGCTCCGTGGGAGCCTCTGGGGAGAACAGGCACCCGGCGAGGCGAGCTCCCACGGAAGGTAGCAGGCCGTCCACCGCACGGCGTGCACACACAAGCCCAGAGCCCAGGAAATGCCCACGGGCTGGCGACCCCGCGACGTTAATACAGACTGACCCGCGCTCCAAATGTCCCCGAGCAACTCCCTGCCGGGCGCCCTCCCCCCACGTACCCGCCGTGCCCGACTTCTATCCCACACCTGGTTTCCGCGTGCCCTGTGTGCGCCTCTGTGTCTGCGCACCCTCGTTTGGTGGCACAGCAGGGATGTTTTGCACCAGCAGCCACCGCTGGCTCGCGTGGCCGTTCTTCCCTGGGCTGGCGGGTTCCTCTGGCGGGCACGGTCCCGGGGCGCCCGGCAGGCCTGCGTCTGGCTTTACCGGGGGGTGTTGACCAACAGTTTTGCCAAGTAGTTGTGTCTGTGTATCTTCCCTCTTCCAGGAGCGTGTGTGTGTCTATCAGGATGCACACTGTCCTTCATTGCTCATTGTTGTTCCTCCTTATTGATTCAGAGGAGTTCTTTACATGTTGTGGATATGAGCCCTGTGTCACATATTTGTGTAAATAGCAAATTGCCTTTTCATAACCTTCGTGTTGTCTTTTGATGGAACGAGCTTGCACTTGTGGTCCGTTTTCAGTTACCCCTGCCTTTCCCCGTCTTTCCGCCCCCGCCCCCCGCCCCGGGGTCTATCAAGTCTATCAGCCTTTTCAGAGAAGCAGCTGGTGGCTCTGTGGGTTTTCTGTGCCACACGTTTGCTTCTGTTTCACTGGCCCTCATCATGATTCCTTTCCGTCAACTTTCTTCCACTTAAAGTTGTTATTCTCTTCTAACTTTTTGAGAGGCACACACGAGTAATCAACTTCAGTCTTCTCTCTGAGTAAATAGTTTTGAGGCTAGAGTGTTAGAGATCCACGGACCGAGGGGGACCGTGTGCGAGCTGCCCCCTCCAGGCGTCCTCGGCCTCCACACCGCCCCAGATCCTGCCCTTCGGGGGCTGCAGCGGCCAAGAGCACGAATTCGTTTCTCAGGATTTCCACACAATGACGCCTGTGGATCCCCAAACCAGCACGTCACTGCTCAGGAGAAAACTGAAGCTCCTCATGAAACAGAACGGCTCCTCCAGGAAGAAGCCGGGGCTGAGAAGGTGGGCCTGGGATCCCAAGTCACTCTGAGCGTCATCAGCTCCTTGGCCGGTAGCAGCCACTGAGTGCCGGTTGTCGGAGACGTCCCCGCGTCTGCCCTCATTCCGCTAGAACTTGAGCACGAAACGTGTTGATAATAGAAGATGGTGAGTTTATACCACTCCCCGAGTTGAAAGCAGGGTCTGGAAGAGATATCTGTGCAGGCACGTGCACGGCAATATTACTCGCTGTGGCCACGCGGTGGAAGCTGCACGGGTGCCATCGGATGGATAAATAGGTAAATGAAACGCGGTGTGTGCACGCAGCGGCGTATCAGTTGGCCGTAAAAGGAAGGAGGTCCGACACCTGCTGCGTCAAGGACATCACGTGAACTGAGATGAGCCAGACATAAAAGGACAAATGTTGTGTGAGGTCCCCCGAGGGGTCACGTCCATGGAGACAGAAAGGAGGATGGTGGTGTGGGGGCTGGGGGCGGGGAATAGGGCTGGTGTAGTGCAGACAGAGCTTCCCTTTGGGGAGATAAGAGAGTCCTCTGGATGGACGGTGGTGATGGTTGCACAACAGTGTGAAATGTGCTTCGTGCCAGTGAACTGTGCACTTAAAACCCACTCAGAGCACAGGCTTCATGGTGTCTGTGTTTTACCGCAAAAGTTTTTTTTTTTAAATATAATTTATTGTCAAGCTGGCCAACATATAGTGTATACAGTGTGCTCTTGGCTTTGGGAGTAGATTCCCGTGACTCATCGCTTACATGCAACACGCAGTGCCCGTCCCAACAAGTGCCCTCCTCAATGCCCATCACCCACTTTCCCCTCCCCCCCCCACTTTGTTCTCTGTGTTTAAGAGTCTCTTATGGTTTGCTTCCCTCTCTGTTTGCAACTACTTTTTTCCCCTTCCCCTTCCCCATGGTCTTCTGTTAAGTTTCTCAAGTTCCACATATGAGTGAAAATATAGGATATCTGTCTTTCTGTGACTGACTTATTTCACTTAGCATAATACTCTCCGGTTCCATCCACGTTGTTGCAAGTGGCAGGATTTCATTCAGCATACAGATCTTTAACATCTTTGGTTAGGTTTAATATTAGGTATTTTATGGTTCTTGGTGCAATTGTACATGGGATCAATTTCTCGATTTCTCTTTCTATCGCTTCATTATCGGTGTATAGAAATGCAACCAATTTCTGTACATTGACTATATCCTGCAACTTTGCTGAATTCATTTATCAGTTCTAGCAGCTTTTTGGTGGAGTCTTTCGGGTTTTCCATGTAGAGCATCATGTCGCCTGCGAAAAGTGAAAGTTTGACTTCTTCTCTGCTAATTTGGATGAACATCCTCATGAACATGGAATAAAAATTCTCAACAAGGTACTAGCAAATCGAATTCAACAGCATATAAAAAGAATTATTCACCATGATCAAGTGGGATTCATTCCTGGGCTGCAGGGCTGGTTCAATATTCACAAATAATCCATGTGATACATCACATTAATAAAAGAAAGGATAAGAACCATATGATCCTGTCAATAGATGCACAAAAAGCATCTGACAAAATACAGCAACTTTTCTTAATAAAAACCCTGAAGAAAGTCAGGATAGAAGGAACATATTTAAACATCATAAAAGCCATATATGAAAAGCCCACAGCTAATATCATCCTCAATGGGGAAAAATGGAGAGCTTTCCCCTTGAGATCAGGAACATGACAGGGATGTCCACTCTCATCGCTGTTGTCTAACATAAGGTTGGAAGTTCTAGCCTCAGCAACCAGACAACAAAATGAAATAAAACACCCGTAAAAGTGTTTTAACATTTTTAAAGATGCGGGAAAGGCCAACTGGGATTTCCTGCCTTCAGCCTTGTGTGGATGCTCGTTGCTGTATAAGCAAAGGGCCTGGGGCCGCTGGCAGCAGGGATGGACCCTGATGGTGGGGCTGCTGGGCAGGACTGGGACTGAGAGCTGGCTTTGGGCTGGTTCTGCCCGAGCCCTCCCGGTCACTGCCAACGCTGCTGCTGGTGGCAGTGGCACCAAATGGCATCGACATCCCCGGCCACCTGAAGAAGGTTGAAGCTCGGGTGGGGGTGGGGGTCAAAGAGTCCCCCCATGGCCAAGATCCACAATTTGAAAACTGTGGGGGGGGGGTGGGCAGGCTGTCTCTGGAGGCCGTTGGTCTTTCAGAAGCGGGTGCTAGAACTAGCTTTGATTCCACACCTTCTCCCCTCCGGCCCCAGTCTCTGTTCTCCGGCCCCTGAGGAGCCTGTGTGGTCCCTGCACCCAAAGCCAACAGGTTTCCTGGAGCCCGTCTGGATCTCCGGGAAATTCGCCGGCCAGCCCAGGTTTGAGACGTGTGACATTCTACCCACGGCAAACCTGTGGCAGCTGTGTGGCCCGTGCCACTGGCCAGGGATGCTGGGCATGAGGGACTGGGGTCCACCCAAGGCCTGGGTGAGGGGGAGGGAGGCCCCGTCAGGGTGCTGACCTCTGTCAGCCTGCAAACTGCTGGACATGCGGCTTTGAGCAGACGATGCCCAGACAGAGGGAAATCACATTTTGGAACAGCCCAGCCGGCACCACGCAGGAGGAGGCAAGGCTGACCCTCACTCCCTCAGCCACCGCAGCCCAAGCCCTGCTCCGGCCACCCTGTCACCTCCCCTGGGTGGGGCATCCTGTAAGGAGGCCCATGCTGACTCTAAGTTAAACCTCTTCTCTCTAGAGATTCCCAAATGTCTGCCTTCAGGGAGACCGAAGCCCAAGATGGAAAACTGGCTGATGGCATCCATAGGGGAGGCAGCCAGGGGATGGTTCTGAAGGTGTCTCGGGGGATCAGGCCCCGGGACACCAGAGCCGGGCATCCAACCACCTCAGTGGGAAGAGAAACGTGTCTTCTCAGTGTTTTGAATCAAACACGTTTTTGAACAGTGTCTTTTCCCTTAATCTCTCTTTTTCACACACACCACATACATACACAACATATACACTCCCCATATACACACCACACACACATGCACACATGCATGGAAGATTTAGAATTTACATGACTAGCACTAGGGAAGTCCCAATGGAAAGGTACAAATTCCCAACAAATTCTTACCAAATATGCCCTGGCACCCCCACACCAAATGAAAATGTACTCTGCCATGTTTCTTTGTATGAATCAGATGATGATGATGGTAGTGATGATGGTGATGGTGATGTTGGTGATGGTGATGGTGGTGATGATGGTGATGGTGATGATGATGATGATGGTGATGGTGATGATGATGATGATGTTGATGATGGTGATGGTGATGATGGTGATGATGATGGTGATG